AAGCACAAAGCTACACAATGTGCTCTGCCCACCACGGGTATCGAAACCCGGTTTCTAGCGTTGTAAGTCCGCAGACATAACGCTGTGCCACTGGGAGGCAACTAGAAGGAAGACAACTAATCAACAGCACCCAACGCAAAGTTTTGGGCTATTCTAATCGAATATTGAGATTCGACGGTCACTTTTATAACGAACCCAACCCTAAAAGGCAGAATACGATTTTGTAGCAACAGGCTGAAAACCACGGACTCTTGGATTCATAATCCAACACCCTAACCACTAGGCCATACCCCACACCAATGAAAAACTAACGCACGAATTGTAACTTAAATTATCTTGGATCATAATTAACATATATTTAATTTTGTTATATATATCTGATTAAATTTGATTAGCTTTTAGCTTCTATTTGACTTCGCAGTCAGACAAGCGGTTAGATTAAACCTCGGTACACTTGTGATTTTAATATTACTGCAGGAATACGAGTTATTATTAAAATTAGTTATGTGAGTTTATTTTATATTAGATAAAACGCAGTGTTTTTAAACTTGTAAGTATTATAGAAAAACAGCTTTCGAAATGTCTGGCAGTAATTATTAAAAAATAAATCACAAAATGCATTGTTGCGCGTGCGGTTTTTTGATTCTACTTTGCGTTATTATCAAAAATGATTCATTGTAACTGAGTAGAAATAATGAGACAGTCCCTCTATTGCTAATAAAAGCGCTACCTACCCACGCTTAATACACGGAGACACCAATAAAGTTTATTAGTATACTAGCTATGAAATTGGTTATCTCTAATCTTCTTACTGCGAGTATCGAAATCTGAATTTTACCGGTGCAACCCGACGTACCTCTGAGCCACCAGGGGGCGCTTAATAATGATCGATGCAATAAATAAATGTTAAATAGAGCGATTATTTATATCAAATGAATATGTTTGAAAAAGTATTACGATACTCCGATTATTACCAATGGTCAGAAAGTCGAGTTAAAACATTATTAATTAAGAAGTTTAAGAGAAAAATTGATTAAATCAGTAAGAAAAATATGGAAATATTGTAAAAAGAGGCACAGGTACTTGTACAAAACAGGAACAAATGATCAGATATCTTATTCCTGGTAATTAGATTATATGAATTTTTCCAGTTATTATTTAACTTCATTTAGACTTTCGACGTTAAGACTCATAGCGCAGCCCCGCTAATACTGAAATTAAATCAGACTAAATTTATTTTGTAGATAAAACAACAGAAAACTTCTTTCTTCGAGAAGATGTTGTTCGTGGACCTATTTTCAATAAAAGTAATAAAAATATTTACACAACGACAATCGAATACAAACGTTTAATGCACATGGAAGGAAAACTGATAAAGAGGATATCCTGGATTTACCTGTATATTTGCTCCCCAATGGCACAGCGGTATGTCTGCGGACTTAGAACGCTAGAAACCGAGTTTCGATACCCGTGGTGGGCAGAGCACAGCTATCTAGCGCAGATAGCCCTCGTGTAGCTTTGCACGAAATTCAAAAACAAACAATCGTTTGCCCTCTAGTGGCACAGCGGTATGTCTGCGGACTTAGAACGCTAGAAACCGGGTTTCGATACCCGTGGTGGGCAGAGCACAGCTATCGAGCGCATTGTGTTGCCTTCCCTCTAGTCTTACACTGCTAAATTAGGGACGGCTAGCGCAGATAGCCCTCGTGTAGCTTTGCACGAAATTCAAAAACAAACAATCGTTTGCCCTCTAGTGGCACAGCGGTATGTCTGCGGACTTACAGCGCTAGAAATCGGGCATCAATACCCGTGGTGGACAGAGCACAGATAGCCCATTGTGTAGCTTTGTGCTTAACTACAAACAAACGAACCCATTCATTTGAGGTTAGTAAAAAAAAAAAAAACATAAAATTACCCCAAAACCTCGAGCGTTTTGAGAGAGCAAAGGAAAAGGCAGATGTGTGTGTGGCAGAATATACATTTATCACGATGATGAGATGACTGACCAGTCACGTGAATGGGTAGTGTGACCTCATTATATTTAGTATTTAAACATATGCACGTTAAGCGATATTTTAAGAAACGTGGGTATATCGTAGACCAGGCAAGCATACCAAAACCTTCTTGTAGCGTTAGGGTTAGAATAATTATGATCGATATGTCTCAATCTTTGAAATCCTTTGGTTATGTATGTAAATCAAACAGAAACGGAATATTAGAAATTAGAAATGCTGCATTTCTATGGAGTGAAAAATTTCTGTCAAAAACTAGTTCAAAGGGCAAGATCAGGGTGAATTTTATCATTGATATCTTACAATTAAAGAGCGATGAAGCGTTAACAAAACATTACAGGCATAACGTTTGAGTAGAATATATCTGATAAACAATAGTCGAGAAGCAAAGCTACACGAAACAAAAGCATGGCAGAAAAATAGGCTTAAGTCGATATAAATAGACTGCGCTGGTTAATAATATAATGGATAATAAAATCGTCTTTATCCCTAAATGATCTGATAAAGCCAATCTGTTATGGGGGAAAAATAACGGAAAACGAAATTTATTGGCTTTTCTATTGTATTTTTCAGTGTTCAGATACATTTTATGAAAAACAATTAACTAGTTTTGAAACTTTTTGTTTCGAAAGGGACATTTATGTTTGCTATATAACAATTGTAATTACTAAATCTTTTCGTACGTATTTTTGCCGTAGTTGAAAGTGTTATACTTTAATTTATTTAAATATTTATAATTTATGTTTTGTTCTATAACAAAAGATGGCAGCACGATATGTTTAAAATTTTGCTTTCTGTAAGTAATTATGTATAATCTATACAGTGTTGTGTTTCAATGCGTCATTTTGTACATATACACTGATAAACTTTTACTAAAGCTCATTACCTTCTCAACTTCTTTAACAACTAAGAAACGAAGTAATTATTACAGTTTGAATTGTATAAGTTTGTGCAATATGCTTCTTAATACCAGTAAAACTATTTTCTGTTATAATTACTTTTATGTTCTACTGGTTGGATAAAAGAAAACGGACTTTTAATTTTCTGTCTTGTTAGAAACCTTTCAAAAACTAATATTAAATTAAAATTTAAATACACGATGGAATATTTTCCTGTTCACATGAGCACTTGGCTAAGTACTCCAATTTTTATTGGTTTGATAGCTAAACTAGAGCTGTTTCAAAACCATGTATGATGCATCGACTCTTTTATTAAAACTTTTTAATTTAAAGAAAACTTTGCAATACATTTGAAATAGTTTGAATTTTTCATAGATTAGGCTTCTGATTCTTCGTTACTGATACAAATAAGTCACGAAATTTTCACATTCGTTACTTTAAATTCTAGATAGATAGATGGACAGGTAAATAGATAGTCTTACATTGAATTGTCCTTAGAAGTGTGTTAACCCTAACGAAGAAGGAACATCAGTTAGTAAAGGAATTAAGCTAATACTACATGGACATAGCTAAGTAATAATATGTCAACGCTGACTAGGAGAGAAAAAAAATTAATTAAACTGGTCCCTCTCATTGATAAGTTTGAAGCCTTATAATGCTAAGAATCAGGTTCGTATACCCGTGGTAGACACACAGCACAAATAGCCCATTCCTTAGCTTTGCGCTTAACAACAACAAAACATATTAAACTAACCCTAAAGTTATCCAATTCCAAGTAAACTTACAAAACTAAATATATTTTCTGAAACTTTGCAGAATGATTACGAAATGTTTGTGTCTTTACAAAACTCTTAGAACGTGAAATGTATTGTTTTGTATTATTCTACGTCTTACCGTTGTGTTCTTTCGATCTTGGATAAATTAAAATTAATTTTTTTTCTTATATCTGCATTTGATCTGTGGGGGGTTTACCAATACTAGCTAAAATCTGATATCGAAGATTAATTATAATAAAATCAAGCAGTGAAAGTACGAAGTAATATCCTGCTAAAAACTGTGGCCCTTCCACGTGTCGTAAACATAAGATTAGCTGGCGACATCTTACGGTAAACTTAGATATCATTATTTCTTTCACTATTATTTATTCTAAAGTCACGTTTTCTCTGAGTAGAACCCTTTATTCATACCTTAAGCTGGTACACTTTAGTTATTCGTAAACCTTGTAAATAATTTAGCGTTCGATATTTTTCTTGCACTGCAATTCACATTTTAAAATGGTTATTTAGAGCGGTGACGTTGTAAAACCAATCTTAATTCCCTGGTGGCAAGTGGGAAAACTTTACTTCAGCATTACCCAAACCTGGACAGAAGGAATTTCACGTCGTGCTTGCAACTGATAAAAACACAACGAAGTTTGTTTCATGCAGTTTGTTTTAGTGACATTTACTGATACTTTCTTATTACATTAATAATGAAATGACATTTCCATATTTAATCTAGCTAAGAGATCTTTATCATTTCAAATCGAATAAAATATATGATATTTATGGAGTTTTTCCAGACCTTTTTAACTCACCATATAGCAACCTAAATAAATTTAGGCGTGGGAATAATATTATGGCATTACGCCTAATTTATTATTCAGTTTTTTACAGCGGACCAACTGTTTTCAGTGATTGTATTATAGTTATATTTTCTTTTCTTCGATGATTATATTTTCAATTTGACTTTTTTTTTGCAAAGAAAATAAATCTCTAATATAAAATATTCGACAGACGTTTTGCTAGTTAACAAGACAATTTTATCAAAAACATGAAAAAAATTGTAATATTAGTCCAAACGATCAACGCGGCCAATTTTGAAAGCTCTTCATTGGAAGAAAATTTAAACCGTCTTTTTTTTTTTGCTATGGCTTGTGGTAGATATTTTTAGGCACCAACTGAATAAGAATGGAAATGATGATAACGTAGAAAACTAATATTTAAAATGTTAAAATCACCCAGATATTGTTTTATTTAATCCAACCAGTAGTATTTTATAAAGCATTACAACATAGTTTTATGTTTCATACTTTTTGGAATTATTACAGGTTCTCAAAACATTACATGTCTGACCTGTGGTCATCTGACTCACTGTCCGCGGTGAATATCAAGCTATGTACCCTACCTTACCTTCTGTAAGTATCTAAAACTATTATTATTATTATCTCTCATTGTTATCAAGTATTTATTTATTTATTATAGTGAAATATTATTGTAGGTCATTGTTATCGAAGTATTGTGGTATCTAATTCATATCAAATATTATTGTTTTATTATTGTTGAAGCGCAATTATTATATTTTATCGTAATCAAGTATTGCAATGTTTTATTTTTTATTGAATATTATTGCGTTTCATTGTTTTTCAAACGTTGTTGTACAGAAAATTACTTAAACTTTTTTTTGGAAATAGTGATTAGTTTCAATATTCGGTGTTGCTCCCAGTGCCATATCTACATCCTTTGCTTCTTAACAAGGCCAATCTGTGCGGTTTCCATAAGATCAGACTTTTTTGGAGAATAGACATGTCAGTGTCAGCGCCTCCCACCCCCACCATGCCCCATCTTGTGAAGCTTTCATAAGTCAGCTGATGTTTTAAGCCTACGACTTTCACACACACACACATATATATATAGAAGCAAAATGCATGAAAGTCCATTGAAATGACACTGGGAGGAATTGACAGATGTGTAGTTGAAAGGGATTGCTGTGATTCCATCTTTTCAACCATCTTTCTCTTGAAAACACTCGCTGATTTTAAAGTATGGCTGGAAGCTTGAGAATGTTGGGATCGTGCATCTTCATCAGTTTCAAAACCTTGTTTGTTATCTCGTTAACAATACCAAAAGATATGTCCAGCTTCATCACATCAACTTTTTGGATCGGAGGGTTCTCTTTCGTAGCTATAACTTGCACTATGTGGACGAGAGCGTTGCTCTGAATTGAGTTGAGATGTTTTTCAGAACCTTCACCAACTTCACCACATCAACTTTTTGGATCGGAGGATTCTCTTTCGTAGCTACAACTTCCACTATGTGGACGACAGCGTTGCTCTGAATTGAGTTGAGATGTTATTTCAGAACCTTTGGCTCTAAATCGTTTAACAATCAACGTGATTTACTTCTATATGAGTAGCAGATGCGTGTCTATCACATGACGGTAGATATAAAATAACACTCCACATTCGCAAGGAAGAAATAAATAGCTTATATACGTTTCCATAATCTGCAAATATATTTCGTTGTCATAGAAGCGATGTTATGTATAATTCTTATCAAGCACTTTTATATATTGGTTGGCCTTGCTAAAGCTATGGATTTCAGAGCCAGTGAGAGGGGGTTCGAATCCGAGCCGTGGATGCACTGTAACAGCAGTCCCTTAGCGCGGCCGGTGGGCAGTAGGGTGCTGCTGACTGGCTGTCCTCTTTATGGTCAGTAGTCCAAAACGAAGGACAGCAGCATAAAACACTAAATACTTTTGTATTTCACTGTTATCGATGTTGATTTGCGTAGCAATTAATCAAGACGTTTTGTTTTATATTATAAATATTGAATAAACACTTGTTTATTGAAATGTGGATACGTTAAGCTGAAAAATAAACATTATTCCATTTGTCTTAATATCATTCGTCTATAGGTTTCTTTTTCATGCTAACCATGCTGTCTTTATTGTTTTTCAAACTGCATGTTTTCATTTACTTAATTTTATCTTTATTATACTCCCGCTCTTCATTGATTCTGTGTTTTATCTCTTTCTTCTTTTTTCCCTGCTCTAAATCTTCTCAGTTTTATTTGTTTTACTCTACTATGTCGTTACAACTTGTATATAATTTTCACTTGAAATGGGATTTTTTTTAGAAACCTATATCCATATAGTTTTAAAATAAACACATAAATATATAATTTATGATTTAAGGTGGTTTCACTTCAAGACGAATATGTATGAGAGAACTGGAATCCTTTCTTCTTTTACAACTGTTCCATATTTAATCGGTTTCGTAACATCATGGACTACCCTTCCGTATAAAATTTATAAAGAAAACAACTGAACACACTTTTGAAACCTAATAATTTTAAGTTTAACATTTATACAAAACATAATTTTTTTTAAATTTGAATTTCTTATTTTTTAAATTTTATATTTCTTAAATTTTCAGAAAAATCAGTTTACACAATAATAATGATAAAACCACTATAATACGATACACAAATTTTAAAAACTACAGATATTATTTTTGTCAAATGCTTTACTTATCTGTTGTGAATAACCTTAAATTTACTTTAGGGTTAACCATAGTATACATGCATCTAAAATAAATGCCAAACCTCAGAATTCCTATTTATTGATTATCTCATCGACTAACGGCTTTCAATTAAACTTTAAAGAAACACTAAAACGATTCTAAAGTATTTTTTAAAGATTAATATCCTTTCTATTTAATTACAATCTTAAAAGGTAAAAACATTGAAAAAAAAATCCGTTAAAAATTAGAATTACAGAAATAAAATGTTACTGATAAGGAACGATTTTCCGGATTTCTAATATGAAAATATTAGAAATCAAAATTAATTAATATTAATTTCTAATATTAGTCTCAAATTATTAGTTTCTTCATCATAGAATTCTCCACAAATAAAACATTAATAAAATTTTTAGTATTACAATAAAAATAACCTTTCATCTTAAATAATTCCTACCCTTTTGGTCCATTTTTATGTAATTTTGATAACACATAAAATTCACAATTTATTTTGACTTAAACAAAAATTGTTTTTTGTCCAGTTAATTCCCAA